CTACCGCCGCCGCCGTTTATCAGCACAGTTCCGCCGCTCTTCAGCGACGAGGAGGATGGTCCCGCCGAGTAGGTGGCAGTGACAGGCGAGGGCGATAAGGTGGAAAAGGGGGAGGAGTTTGAAGAGGAGGAGGAGGGGGAGGAGGAGGAAGAGGAGCCAGAGCCGCCCTCGAGGATGCTGGCGGCGCTGATGATGGAGATGCCGGCCCCGGAGAAGCTGCCACTGCCTCCAGCGCCAATTTTGGCGGGCTTGCTGTGCATTGGCTGCATCGGCTGCTGCTGAATGATCATAGGACCATTGGAGTTGCTGCAGCTTCCATTGCTGTCCTGCTCCGAGGTGTCATAGGAGGTGGACACCTCAATCTGCTCGGTGTACAGCAGCGGAGAGCCACCGCCACCGCCGCCGCCGCCCACGCCGTTTCCCACTGAGGAAGCAGCCGCCGAGCTGCTGCTGCCGCCACTGCTGCCGGCGAGGTGCAGCGAGCTTAGGCCTCCACTGCCGACACTACCTCCACCGTTTTTCGCCTTTTCCATTCGTCGAACTGAATCAAAGAATAAAAGAAAATGTCAGTACAAAGTTTAAATAACAGAAAACCCAGTCCCCACTTACTCTGATCCTCGAGCATCTTATTCTGCTTGGCAATCTCGTCAATGTCGCTCTGGACGTTGTTGTTCTTCTTCCGCATGAACTGAATGTACTCGGCGGCCTTCTTCAGAATCTGCGCCCGCGATGCCTGCTTTGAGGTGGGTAAAGAAAAGAAACAGGCATAAGCACAACCTCTGTCCAGCGCGTGGGGGCGTACTAAAACGGAATCGATTGCGTACACTTACCGTGACCTTCTCGCCCTGCAGTGACGGCACCGAGTCACGGAGGCTGGTAAAGCTGTCCTTGATGTGGTCGCGCCGCTTCCGCTCCAGGGCGTTGTGGTGCGCTCGGCGATCCGCCTGTAAAAGAAAGAGATAATAAGTTAATACACTTGAAAGGGACTCAATTTAGGAGATTGTACTCACAGCAGTTGGAATGATTTTGTCACCATTGCTATTTCGGAGATCGCCACCGTAGACGGTGCCATCTTCCTCCTGAGGAAAGAAAGAAAGGGAAAAATTGGTTAGTAACAGGAGCAGGCTATGTTGTGGTGGTGGTGGTCCCCTCCTTTCACTCATTGATGACGATGATGATGACGATTATTAATAAATACTCAGCTAAACAACAACAACAACAATAACAACATTGCCTACTATCAATCACGTGACTGATTAGGGTGAGAAAGAGAAAAAGGGAATCAGTTGGTTTGGTTGGTTTGGGTCTAGAGTAGAAAAATGCCAACCAAAAAAAGTGGTAGTATCGGGTTGATAAGGTGTTGGCTGATGCAAGACTGCCAAGACTGATTGGTGGGGAAAGTGAGTGGGCAAGTACTATCAAACGCTGTGCGTGTGTGTGTGTGTGCTGTAGGCTACCGGGGAAATCGCATCAGTGCCCATCTATCTATATCTATCGAAGTGCATCAATCGGAGTGCTCGGTTTGCTATCATCATCATCCTCGGTTTGCGAGGCACAGGCACAGGCACACATTACACCAGCTCCTCCTGAGCTTTAGTGTAGACTGGTTCAGTAGTGATGAGGTGTAGAGGGAGAGGGAAAGGAAAGGAAAGGAAAGGAAAGGAAAGAGGGAGATAGTACGGCAGACAAACAACACCGACACTTGCTGGCTGATTTGCTGGCTGGCGGCGTTTTGGGTGGCAGGCCAAATCAGACACTTTTTTATTCTCAGAAAGCCTCGCCTCCACTCCATGGTTTCCCCTCTCTTTCTCTCTTTTTCGGTGGTGATCCTCTAGGCAACAAACTGCAGCATCAGCAGCAGCAGAAACAGCAGCTGTTGCTCCTCGAGATCACACGACCAATTGACGGCTGCCGCTGTTGTGCTTCTGTCGGTGGTGGTTGCCATCGGTGCGATGCACTTGACAAGTCTTTTGACCTCTCTCACTCTTTCTGATCATCACACTTCACTACCACCAACACCACCGCAATGGCACATTAGAGGCTTTAAAGCTACTGTCAGCAAAAAGATGGGTAAAAAGCAAACCAGAGCCGCGACACCACAGAGTGTGAAGAGAGTGAAAAAACCAACCAATACTAAAAATCCCCCAATAAGCAGCTGGTCAGATGGTTGAAGCCAGACAATCAGTCAGTTTAACCAAACACACATCACCATCATCACCATCTACAATTCATCATCATCTGCAGAAGACATCTGCTGCTGCTGCTGCTGAACATCCATCCGAAATCAGGCTGTGTGCTCGGTGCCACGACACACTCACCACACACAATGACTGGTGTCCACCACCATTACTCGAGGCGCCAGTTGTGAGAGAGAGAGAGAGAGACACTCTGACACTCGTTCAATGACCCCAATAGAGAGCATTTGGAGTCACACAAAAAATGGTGCGATACAAGTTATGGGTGAACGAGTTTGGCCAGTGTGCCGACAGCAGCAAGTGGTCGAGTCGAGTGGCTAGTGAGCAGAGGCAGAAAGGACATGGATACGATTGACGGCCATCGGCCTGGTGGTGGTGGTGGTGGCGGTGGTGGCGCCCGAGTACAAAGCTGCCAGATAAAGAACTGCAATAATGCTGGTGATGACCACCATTAGAGTGAAAGTTCGCCTGAAGAGAAAGAGAGGGGAAGACCATTTTTTCATTGGCTACACCTCTCACCACCACCACCACCACCACTACTACCACCACCACCAAACAGACAGGTCATCCTCGAAAGAGGAGCAGAAGAAATGATGAAGGCGTAATGATGATGGCGCCGCCAGCTCTCTTCTCTTTGCCCCCTCACTGATTCGCGCCTTACTGCAGCAAGAAGAAGTGCTACCACTGCTGAAGCACCTGAGCATGCAAACGAGAGAGAGGAGAAAGAAAGGCTGCTGATGCACCTGCTCTAACTGGTGGCAGAGATAATGTGCAGGCAATTACCAGCAGCAGCACCGGTGAGCGCCAGGCTGACCTGGCCACAGCCAGTCTCCTCCTGCACGCTCAGTTAACCCCTTCTCCCCTACATAAGAAAGAGAGAGAGCTCAGTAGAGCCAGAAAGAGGGGGATGGAAAGGAGCTAACGCCAACCACCGAGTTAGTGTCAAAGTGAGACTCAGTTGTCACCTCGTTCCCCGTTGGTTACGCGCAGATGACAGCCCGCATACAAGACAGGCAGTAGCAGTCAATCTCATTTGACGAATCCCCAAGCAACGGTGTGTGAATGTGAATGAGAGAGAACAGCAGCAGCCGCCACTTCCGGGACGGTTATTAGACTAACTGTGAGTGCGGTGGTAAGCGGCTTACGGCAGTGTGTGATTCATTCTTTTCCCTCACCTTCTATCATCAGTCATCACCGGCCATTGTCAGTGAGTGAGTGCATTCGCAGCCGCTGATGCCACCGATGCGAGTCAACACTCTATCTCTCTCTTTCCTCAGTCAACACTGGACACAACTGGTAAACAAGTGAGCATCAGCAAACAGTCACTCTTCTCTCTCTCTCTCTCTCTGATGGCGCCCACCACTGCCGGCGAAGAGGAAGAGGACAAGAGCACACCTTCTCAGCAACACACTGAACAGAGCTAAGTGTGCCAAAGTGCTTCCTCGAAGCATTCAGTGTCGCAAGCAATCAAGTAAGCAAGCAAGCAAGCAAATGCACCGGTGTAACACACTCCAGCGCAGTTGCAGAGATGAGGATTGGGAATAGAGCAAGGAATAGAGATCAGGCGAAAGCGAGAGAATCCGAAGCGGCTGCTGCTGCTGCTGCCGCTGCGCCTACGGAATATTGCGCCTTTCCCATTGTGGGCGCCATGGGATGAAGAGTGTGCAAGAAAGCTGCCTTCTAAGCGCTACCACCACTGCATTCGATTCGAAACAGCGGCAGCGGCAGCACTACTACCTCTGCGGCACTGCCAAAACTCGTCGACGACGTGATCGCCGCCGCTACCACGACCAGGCCAAGAGAGTGAGGAGAGAGCCTGAATGAAGGCAGTGCAGGAGTACACGAGGTCTGAGCACTTGGCGGCGGCGACTACGACGACGGCAGCTGCCAGAGAGTGCGACCATGCTCGCGCAAACGAGCGATAGAGCAAGAGAGACAGATCGGGCAACCTCGTGGTTGCGCGCCTCGTGGTTCGCAGTGGCTTCGCTCTCACAGCACTTCTCCTCTCTCTCTCCTCGCTCTTGCCGTTCTGCATTTGCGGAGGCGAAAACAACAACAAAGCTGCTGCTGCTGCTGCTGGCTTCGAGCTTCGAANTCCTCTCTCTCTCTCTCTCTCTCTCTCTCTCTCTCTCTCTCTCTCGCTCGCTCTTGCCGCTCTGCATTTGCGGAGGCGAAAACAACAACAAAGCTGCTGCTGCTGCTGCTGGCTTCGAGCTTCGAAGCACTTCTCTTCGACTGCCGTCGCCGTTTGTCCCGCGCACTCACACAATGTTGAGAGCGTTGTGCCCTCTGACGGGCACCTCGCCACTGCCTGGCGCCAAAGATGCAACTGCAGTAGCAGTGTACGAAGAGATCCTCATTGGTAGTAGTAACTTGAGAATTACCCGACGCCCAAATAAGCCTGGTGTCGGGATAATTTTTCAGCGACCAAAAAGTTCCAAAATATAAAAAAGCGAATTTGAAATTTAAAATTCCACTGAGCATTGCGCATATTCAAAACTGGTAAATTAGATACTGCGAAATGGGCGGCAATGGCGGCGGCGACGACGCCGCCGGTGGCTCCCTACTACTACTGCACACACTCACACTCGGGATAGTGCAGAAAGACAATGCAGTGGATAGTGTGCTGCTGCTGGTGGTGGTGGTGGCGTCGATGGCGATTGAGGCGCCGTTGCTGGCCGAGGGGCACAGCGGCAGAAATTGTGCAGCCGCAATGACTGGTCGACGACAACCACGAGGCGCACTGGCACTGGCGAGTGAGAGAGAGAGAGAGCAAGAGCAAGGGAGCGAGGCAGTGCGAGAGCTTCAGTCAGACTCAGTAATGTGTATGTGTGTGCAACGCATGGTGGGAGCCATCAAACAACGGTACACTTGCCACACACACAGACATACAGACTGCTGATGCAGAGGACGGCAAGACTGAAGACAGGGCCTTGCAAAGAAAGAACAGACTGGCATCGAGACCAGAGCAGGCCGACGCACTTGGTTGCCTTTG